GTAGATGCATCTACATACAGAATTGTAAGATGTTAAGATGTAGATCGTGATGTAGCATGTAAGATGTACGTAATGCACGCAGATTGGGATCAAAATGTAAGATTGTGACTAGCCAAATGTAGATGATAAGACGTCGATAGATAACAGATTTCATGAAGCTTAGACTCGCTCGAGCATTAGTGTTAAGATGTAGAAGTAGATGTAGATGTAGGATGTGAGCTGGTAGAATCGCTTAACACGATCGTAGATGTATGGTGTAGATACTTAGTAATGTATACATCGATTGTAAGATCGTGTCTGTAGCATGCTAGATTGTCCCCGCCGACTAGTAGATGCTACTGACTGTACGATGCACACAGATAGACCAGATTACCACCTACCGCGTGTAGACTGTAAGATCGTAGATGGTAATGTACCGACACTGTCGTAGACTGGGATGCGTAGCACTGTAGATTGTAGATGCAGATGTCAAATTGAGGAGTAGATGTTGAGCCGCATGGGGTAGGTGTCATGTATGGACTAGACCGTAGACGGACCAATCTAAGTAGATGTAACATCTACAGTTACTGCTAATGTAGACATTGTGCTGTAGGAAGCTAGGGGTGTGAGGCAGTCTTGTATAGAGGTGATTCGATGTCGATATGCTAAGAATGTAGATTAGAGTGTAGGTGTAGATGTAGCATGCACTGACGTGAGTGTACGACCTCGTAGAGTGTCGATGGTATGACTCATAGTACGATCTACAGAGGTAAGCAGTGTACACCTGTAATTAGTAGTACTCTACAGTCTACATCTACACTACATCGTAGCATGCTACATCTACATTCTCAGCCTATACTGCGTATTCATCCTACACCTACACCTACGATCTACACCTACGTCTACATTCTACATGTACATCTAGTCATGTTACAGGTCTAGCATCGTACATCTACATCTTAACATCTACCATGGTCTACATCTACACGCTATCACGCACACTACGCCTACAACTACTAGTCCTCTAGGGCATCCTAGCACCTACCTCTCTACGAAGTCTTAGACGCGTCATGACCTTTTGGTTCCTTGCCGTGCGGAAAGGAATGCGTCTAACCACTGTAACTACTTCACCGACACGTGTTTGCAGTAGGGTGGGGAGTGTGTAGTCGTTTCAATAGAATATCTTGCCGCAATCAATTCGTCCATGGTGGGTTCGTATCTACCTCAAACTATCCTTGTATAGAGCTTGGTCTGTCTTGAACCCTCTGGCGCACTGCCGCTGCCTCTTGCGCCCTGCCTCCTTTTGCCTCCCCTGGACCGGTTCCCGGCGCCTCACTCTTGTGGTGTTTTTGCGCGTGGCCGACTGGGGGGGGTGTGGCGGGTTCCTGCGGGGTTCTCGTGCTTTGATTTGGCGCTACGGGGCGTGAATTGTGGCTGGAATTGTGTTTTGTGCGGGGGGCCTCTTTCCAGCGGTACAGCGCGCTTTCAGTCCGTGTCGGACACTGGCCGTTCGGCCTTTCGCCCGCTCCTGGGGTCACTACCGGCCCTGCCGCCGTCTAGTAACCTGCACCACGCGAAAGAGAGTAAGAAATATCGGCAAGAACGCCGAGCGACGCAATCGGCTGGGTCGTGTTGTCGTTTCATCTACTCATTATCGTCAGCTAGGGTTGGGCTAAAATGAAGGCATGCGCGCCCCGCCAGGCCCCTTCACGTGTGCAACAGTGGCCCCTGTCAATCTACGGGGATGTTTTTAGATTCTCATTGGGCAAAATGGGGAAGATGGTTTCGGGTTGCCGTTGGGGGCTCGTGGCCCGTCCTCTGTCGTTTCCGCCGTGCGCTGCTCTTGGCGTTTTCTTCGTTGTGTCTCTATCATTCGTCCCTGACTGTCTCTGTCTCTCGCCTATCTATTGACGGGTGTTCTGCATTTCTTCCGGCGTAGATGGGTGCTGGGTTTCCTCCCTTCTCCTTCCCTCGTAACCTT